TCGGGGCATTAGTTAACCCAAATGACATAACCACAAATTCATAGTGACCATACTGGGTCCTAAAGGCCATCTTGGGAATGTCAACCCCTCTCACCCTTAGTTGATGGTAACCCGAATGAACCTCTATTTTGGAGAAATAGTTAGCCCCTTGAAGTTGATCAAACAAGTCGTCAATTCTAGGAAGGGGATACTTGTTCTTTATGGTCACTTTGTTTAATTGGCGATAATCAATACACATTCTAAGGGACCCATCCTTCTTTCTAACAAACAATACCGGAGCACCCTAAGAAGAGATACTTGGTTGAATAAAACCCTTGTCTAGAAAATCCTTGAGTTTCTCCTTCAACTCTTTCAACTCGGCCGGAGCCATTCTATAAGGAGGAATGGAGATAGGTTGCATATTCGGCAAGAGATCAATGCCAAAATATATTTCTCGTTTAGGAGGAATGCCGGGCAAGTCATCGGGAAAGACTTTCAGAAATTCATTCACCACGGGGACCGACTCTACAGAAGGGGTTTCAGATTCAACATCCATAACCCTAATAATGTGGTAAATACACCCCTTGGAGATCATTTTCCTACCTTTTAGACAAGAAACAAATTGACCTCTAGGGATAGAATTTCCCCCTTTCCACTCTAAAATGGACTCATTTGGAAATTGAAACTTTACTACCCGAGTCTTACAATCAATAGAGGCATAACATTCATGCAACAAATCCATACCCAAAATCACATCAAAATCTAGCATGTCTAACTCCACTAAATCCACCAAGGTAAATTTATGGGGAAAAAATAGGACAACTCCTATAGACTCTTTTTGCCACTATCGAGTCACCAACTGGGGTAGAAACCGAAAAAGGTTCTATTAACACTTCGGGGAGTATTTAAAATTTCATGGCAAAGTGGCACCAGGGTCTAACAATGCATATACATCAATAGAAAAGACTTGTAATATACCGGTCACAATATCCGGGGAGCTCTCTTGGTCACCTCGAGATTAAAGAGGATAGAAGCGGTTTTCTTGAGAGCATTGGAATTTGAATCACTAGGAGGGACTTTCTTTCTCTCTCTTCCTTGAGCCCTTAGCATGAGACAATCTCTCATCATATGACCGCTCTTCCCACAACTATAGCAACCATTCGTGCCAACTAGGCACTTACCATCATGTTTCTTGCCACACTTGGAACAAGTAGGCCTCACCATAGAAGATCCACCACTATTTCATCCTTGAGGCTTAGGGTTAAACACCCTATATTTGTTGACCCTTGGAGCACTTGAGGAGCCTTGGTTGGAGAACCTTCTCTTGAACCTTGGTTTACCTTGGGCCTCGGATTTACCTTTGGAAGAATTCCCATTATCTATCCTTGCTCTTTTCACTTCCCTATTCACTTGCTTGAGCTTTTGTTCCTTAATTTGTTCGGCATGAACCATAAAATGTGAAATATTCATACTTGGGATGAGCATTGCCGAATGACATTCATTGACTACCAAGTTGGATACCCCCATAACAAATTTGTTCATCTTGGCCCTAGAGTCCGCCACTAAGGTTGGAGCATACTTAGACAGTTGGGTAAACTTAAGGCCATACTCTTTCACACTCATACCTCCTTGGCGAAGGTTGATGAATTCTTACATCTTTCGTTCCCTCAACTCTAGGGGGAAGAACCTAACAAGGAAGACCGACTTGAAAAATTCCCAATCTACCGGGCCCGCTCCTACGGGTCTCTCACCCTTCCATTGCTCATACCATACTTGAGCCATATCCTTCAACTGGTAGGCGGATAGCTCCGCCTTCTCTTGTGGAGACACTCTCATAGCATCAAGCACCTTATAGATCTCATCAATAAACCCTTGTGGGTCTTTTTCCACTTTGGATCCATGGAGCACGGGGGCATTCATCCTAGTAAAGTCCTTTATCCTTGAAGCCGTCGTACTCACATTCGGGTTCACATGAGTCCTAGTATCCCTATTGACTTGGGCCGTCACGGCTTGGGTCAATACTTGGAGAGCCGACCTTATTTCCACATTTGTCATAGCACCCACATCAATAGGAGCTTGAGGAACTTGAGGACCTTGGGGAGGAACTCCCTCATTCACATTCTCCTCTTCCATCCTTCTTGTGTTCACCCTTCTGGTATTCATATCCTATAGACACAAGAGAAGGGTTAGGAAAAGGACTTCATAGAGTTAAAACTCTAAGGTATGACTAAAGAGTAATGAAACAAGTGAAATTTCCTACACATCTTATAGCCTCTCATTCATAAATGTGGCGCACTTCACACTCATAAATAAGACTCTACTAGATGTGGCTTATGAGACATCATCCTAGAATCATTCTAAACCTTATTCTCTGATTACCAAGTTTGTCACGACCCAGGGGTATCCCCTAGATGTAACACGACGTACTTGACCCCGAAGGGGTCTCATACAAGCCCTAAGCATATTATAAACATAAGTAATAAAAATGATGCGGAATTAAAACTTTTTACAATCGAAGTCTTTTCATAAAATCAACACACAAGCTTTCCACCAAGGAGAAGTAAACCTCAATGACCGGGACCTACACACATAGCCGGACCAAGGTGCGGGGTGAAATTTTCTAGTTGTCGGACCGAGGAATTAGAGATACATAACTTATCACTTTCCATGTAATACACTAGGAAAGGATTACAATTACTAGGATTGCTGCATGATGTTCGACGTAATCAACTGACACTATTTCGATTCAAGTGCAAACGATCGCGTGTAGAGATATAACCCAACCAAGGGTTGGGATCGTTCCCACATGGAGTGGTTTTGAGAATTTGTAGAAAAATAAAATCAAGTTCTAATTAGTCGTAGCTATAAATATTAACGAATAAAACCATACTAAATCTAAGGAGTGACGCAAGTGTCAATTATCAATGGGGGTTTGTATTAATTAACAACTAAAAAAAGAGTAAAAATAATAAGGAAACGATATATGGAGATGGGATTCTTGGGATGTGATAGGAATACGGGTTAAACTAATCTATCGGGTACATACTTTTGATAGTAAATTGCTGAGCATTTGTGACTAGGCTAGACTATAATGGGGGTAAATTCTCTCTCGAGCAACTTACCCCGAATCAACTCGGTTTCTCTCGAACACTGTGTTGCCGCATTAAGCACAACCTCTTCCTTAGCCCATTCACTCTCTTGAGCTGAATGTGTGGGAGAAGGACTAGGAATCACTCTCTCGAGCTGAACCCATGTCGACCCAATACCACTGGCTATCAATTTAGTAGTCTTAATTTTACGACCGCTCTCTCGAGCAAGCCAAAAACACTAAGATAAAATCGTATTTGCAACTACAATCCCATTAAGTTCATACACAACTAATAAACGAAATCACATTTAAACAACAAATAAACCATCAACAAGCAAAACCCAACAGATAATTTAACCCATATTCACAAAATCACACCCCAAGAATTGGGGTTTCAGCTAGACATGTAAAAGAGATAAAAATTTATACCACTATCAGTTTCCATCAACTGGGTATGAAGAATTAAGTTTTAAAACACGTCATAAGTGAAGAATCTTCGAGACCCACGTCCAATTTCTTGGAGTTGAAACCCTTTGAATCTTCAAGGTCTTAGAACAAAGTCTCCAAAACCCTCTAAAACTTAAAACTCTCCAAAAACTGTAAACAGTTTGAATAATAGAAGTGATATGATATTATAAATTTAAACAAGTATTTATAGCGTTTTAAAATTTTTGTTGCGGAGGACCATTTGGCGCAGCTAGTCTGGATCGCCTATATGCTCGGTGATCCACATTTTGGTCGATTTAATCACCTTTCTGCTTTATCCTTCATCCTCTTCATGTTTTGAGTCGTTGGGCAATATGGTACTGCTTCACAGAACTGATCGGCGACGCGCCAACTGCTCCATTTAATCGCCAACTTGACCTTTTCCTTTAGGGCTCAGCACACTGGAACAAAAGCCGATCTCCAGGCCCATCGGCGACTCGCCAACTGGGCTCAGCGATCTTCAAGCCTTCATTTCTTCGTTCTTTTCAGCCACCTTGTTCCTTCTTGCCAAGTAGTGTCCATGCTTTGCCTCAAACTCTAAATACCTGAAACTTAAGGATTTTCATCAGATATTGAGACAAAATATGCATTTGAGGACACTAATTCTATCAAAATATAACCCTAAATGAGTTCATATTGTGGACTCATCAACACCCCCAACTTAAAACTTTTTCTTGTCCTCAAGTAAAACTCAAGTTCGGCAGTCCAAAAAGGATGTCTCAAACAGTGCTACACAAGACTCAACTTACTCATGCAAGAATCAACTGTATACTCAAAGACTCAAGTTGTGATACACCATTATCAAAGATTCTCAAGCTCATTATACTTGCTTCAAATGCAAGTTCGATCTGAACAATGGTATTTGAATTCCCTCACACAAAGAATGATTCCATATTCACAAACAATGGTTTAATCATTTAAAGTTCTGGAATCAAATGCAACGCTCACTCTCACAAAGAAGAACACAATGCATGCTTTCACCCATAGGTTTGCTCGTATTTTTCAATCAACAATTGTTTCAGCTCACTCAAGATAAAAAAAAGGTTTTTTCAAGGCTTGTAATGGGGCTGAGTGCAAAGGTATGGTCATTTAGGCTTAGTGACTTTCATTCTCGTGAAATGTGGTGCTTTTAACACTCCCTTTCCTCTTCTTTCATCAATTTCTTTAGTGCTCATAAGTCATCCCATTATTCTCTTCCATGGATTGTTCGGAACCCCATTTCTTTTGACATTTCTCATAACTTTATTTCACAACTTTTTTTTTCTTTTAATCAATTTTGAGCTCACGGCTCATTTTCTGTCATAAGAAAAACAAGAAATTGAAAAGCAAGTACAAAAACAGGCTAAAAGCCAAAGAAAACTAGACTTTGTCCACCTAGCCCAAAAAGAGCTAAGCCTCTTGCTATATTTAATCACACAGTTTAATCACTTTCCTCTTTTTTGTTTCCTAATCTTCTTCCTCGTAATGTTCCTTCCCTTTGTGAAACTCTCAGTTCTTCCTTGTGATTGGTGTTCCTCCATGGATTCAAACTCCTTTCTGCAGCTTCAAAAGGTATTTTATTGTGTTTTCCTTTGTTGTAATTTACAATCTTTGATCTCTATTTGTGTTTCTCAGGTGAATGGACCATGGACCAGTTCTCAGTTCCTGTTGGGGTGTTTTGTCAAATAACTTTGTTAAAATCGCCAGTAAGCTCTACTTCTCTTGTCCTCGCCTCCAGATCTCTTACTTCTCATTTTCTCACAGTTTAGGTATGAAGCAGAGAATAATATGTGTTTCAAAATGTTCCACCTGTGGTTTGACAATAGTTGTTGCTCTTTGGATTCTGTTCTGATAGTCCTTTTTCTAAGCTGTCCTAGCCAAAGCTAGGTTATTTCACAACTTTTTCTTTTTCTTTTCTCTTGTCTTTATTTTTTGTATGGAGGGCTTCCATTTTTCTCAACACCATGGGTTAAAAGGGACTTTTCTTGTACTTTTTGACTTGCCTTTTCTTTTCACCACACCCCTAACTTAAGATTTTGGCCTAAGTTGGCTATTCAATCAACCACAAATCACAAGGATTATTGGTAGTGGATTTAATAAAGGTCATTTTTCATCAAGTTTCTTCCCAAGAAAGGTAAGGCTCAAGGGTGTTCAAAAGAGGTTCACACACTCACAAGGTAGGCCACAAAAGCGGTATATGTCAAATTGGCTCACACTCTTCGAAGTTGTCTAAGATCATATCAAGAGATAGTCTTACTTAGTCGACCGGACCAACTGAGAAAATTCTAGGTGTTATCATGCATGGTTCACAGTAAGCTCATCACACAAGGCTTCGACACCAAAGTCAAACAAGACTCCACACTTTCGCTAGTGTGCAACGTTCATCACAAGAGAATCAATTTGATAATTGGCTAGTCAAAACGAGATGCAAAGAGTTCACATATTGACTATGTAACTTCAATTGGTCTCATCGTACCCGCACATTCATGTTCATTCAGATATGAGCACTATTTGAGTCATCAATATTGATCAAAACTGAGACTCAAATTTGCTAAAGAACATCCACATTCCACACGTACAAGAGGTGGCAAAAATTTTAAAAAAAATTCTGAAGGGTCAAAATCATTTACAATTTAAAATAAAGGAGCCACAAGCTCAAACATCCACAAGAGGTAGTGTAAGACACAATTATATGCACAAAACAGTGAAGCATCAATATTCACACAAAAGGTGGGACTCACCCCACCACAAATAAAAACCATTTGTCCTCAAATGCAAATGAAGTAAAGTATCCAAAAGTGAGAAAATAAGACAGAGAGGGAGGTAAAGAAAGGATTCTGTCTATGTAGTATCTCCTTCTGTCCGGGCCTCAGTGCCTGGTGCAGCAGTCTGTACTTGGGCATCAGTGCCCGGAATCACCTCCAAAAATCCAGCTTCACAAGATTCTTTTGACTGTGAGTTTGCCAGAAAGACATGCATTGCCCTGTAGAATCCCCTGGCCCATGAAGGAATATTAGGGTCCAGGGTAATGGTTTTCCTGGCAGAAGTGGGCCTCTTGCCCTTGCCTTTCCCAGTAGTTGTGGGTAGTTTCGAGACTTTTCCTTTTGACGTAACTGTATCCTCCTTTATCACAATCTCTTTGGACTTCTCTTGAGCTGGCGTTATTCTTTCAGTAGTTTTTGATTTAATCGTGTCTGCAAAATCTCGAAGAGAAGTTAGAGAAACATAAACAAAAGCTCATCAAAACAATTTCAGACAGACTTGCCAAACCACTGTCTTGCCAAACCAGAGGGTGACTCGCCAAATTTCTTGGGCGAGCTAGATCGAGCTTGCCTAAAGGATTAGCTCTAAAATTGCAGCAAATAGGCGATGGGAAAACCACTCGGCGTGTCGCCGTTAGCTTTCGGCGAACAAAGACAAGCTTGCCGAAAGTTCTAGTGCACAAAGGCTAAGGGGTGCAGATAGAGGACAAAAGAGAAGACTTTCGGCAAGTCGCCGAGTGCTTTTGGCGAAGTCAGGCTTCTCGCCGAAAGTTGTAGAAACCAACAACACATAGCATGAAATTAAAGACGAGATATGGTTATTAGGTGAATCGCTGAGTGGTTCAGCGAGCTCGCCAAACGGCCCAACGTGCCTATTTTCAACCCATCTTCTCGAATTCAACCCCGCAACCCCTGAAAACAAAATCAAAGCATGCACTAGTACAATTAATCTCAGACCCATAACACCCATTGCCCCAAGATATTCGGATTTTTCCCAGTTTTGCCAAATTTGGCCATTTGACGATTTTTACCCTTAAGAATGGTGTCACCCACTCTATCATTGAGTAAATTATGACATTTGGCACAAATACGGGCTACTCAGACTTCACCCTATCAATCTAGCCTACATCCAAGCCCACCCCACAAGATTTTACTCAATTAAAGACACAAATTTACAGGCATTCGACGATCAAAACAATACGGGCAAGATTGTCAAGTTTAAAAGTAGGCATATTCGAAACAACTACGATCAAAGGGGACCATCACACATCAGTAAGGTAAGATCATTTGCGAATGAGTACAAAATGCGATAAAAATAAACATGGGATTCGGAAAACCAACCTCTTATATCGAACAATATAAATTTGTGATGCTAGGCGTCAAAGTTTCCAACTCCGAGCACAAATCAACAACCAAAATACTTATGGATTGAAAAAATATTCAAAATACTAAATAGATGCTAGATTTGGAAGGTTAGAAACAAGGTAAAATGAAAGAGTAGGAAGTTTAAACCATTCTTTCTTTTTAAAGACCATCCAGTTCGCACCTATTCGGCGATGTTAGTCATGATCGCCAATCCTATCGGCGACTCGCGGATTGGTCATTTACCTCGCCAAGTTTTTACAAGACCTCTATTAGTATGGAGGTCCAAACGGCGGACTATTTCGTGTTCACCGACCTGTTCGGCAACTCACCGATAGTTTCAAGGGTTCGCCGAGTTTTACCGACTCTCATTTTGAATTTGTCTTAAGTCTAACAACGGTCTCAGTCAGTGTAGCCAACTTTGTTGGTGATTCGCCCACTGGATCTCTAACTTGCCAAGTTACACTTTTCAACATTTCCCTCACGTTATCCCGCATAATCAACACACCATTATTCTAAACTTAAAAGAAAGCAATTAAGACTGGGCTGCTTCCCAGGAAGCGCCTTAGTTAACGTCATGGCCCGACGTAAGTCCTTACTCACTCTCCATAATTAGGGTTGGCCCTAGTGTTATTAGGTAACCTCAATAGTTCATTTGAGTAGAGATGAGGCACTGTATAACTCATGAGTGTCCTGATCAGCTGGATAGATCTAGAATGAGAGCCAATCATCTGATTCAATACTTTAATACTCTTCTTCATCTCTTCCAACACTCGATCTTGTTCGGTGATCTTTTGGAGAATGGTTTGTAGTGTGTCCTCGACACGATTGTTCTCCCTGTCTCTAGACTTTTTTCGCTCATGAGGTTATATGTACCTCCCTTGACTTTTGCATTAGTCTTCCACCTCTGATATTTTGGTGGCCAAATCATTCAACTGAGTTACCAGTGCGGATAACTTGAAGTTTCTCTCGACTTCTTGATTCGTCTCAGCCAATTTTCTACCATTTCCCTCAGCCATGCTCAGGGTATCTGCATACAACAACAACTTAAAAGAAAAACCAAACAAAAAATAAAGTTAATAAAATACGATTACGAAGACCAAAAATTTAACTAAACTACCAATTCTCAAATAACACCACTCCCCGACAGCGGCGCCATTTTGATGTTCGACGTCATCAACTGACACTATTTTGGTTCAAGTGACAAATGATCGCGTGTAGTGATATAACCCAACCAAGGGTTGGGATCGTTCCCACAAGGAGTGGTTTTGAGAAATAGTAGAAAAATAAAATCAAGTTATAATTAGTCATAGCTATAAATATTAACGAATAAAAACATACTAAATCTAAGGAGTGACGCAAGCTTCAATTATCAATGGGGGTTTGTATTAATTAACATCTAAAAAAAGAGTAAAAATATAAGGAAACGAGATATGGAGATGGGATTCTTGGGATGTGATAGGAATATGAGTTAAACTAGACAATCGGGTACATGCTTTTAATAGTAAATTGTTGAGCATTTGTGACTAGGCTAGACTATAGTGGGGGTAAATTCTCTCTCGAGCAACTTACCCCGAATCAACTCGGTTTGTCTCAAACACCGAGTTGCCGCATTAAGCACAGGCTTCACCTTAGCCCAGTCACTCTATCGAGCTGAATGTGTGGGAGAAGGACTAAGATTCACTATCTCGAGCTGAACCCATGTAGACCCAATACCACCGACTATCAATTTAGTAGTCTTAGTTCTACGACCTCTCTCTCTCGAGCAAGCCAAAAACAGTAAGATGAAATCGTATTTGCAACCACAATCTCATTCAGTTCATACACAACTACTAAACGAGTATTTATAGTGTTTGAAAATTTGTGATGCGGAGGACCTTTGGCACAGTTAGTCGGGATCGCTGATACGCTCGGCGATCCACCTTTTGGTCAATTTCATCGCTTTCCTGCTTTAGCCTTCAGCCTCTTCATATTTTGAGTCGTTGGTCAGTATGGTACTGCTTCGCGGAACTGATCGGTGACACGCCGACTGGTCCATTTCATCACCAACTTGACATTTTCCTTCAAGGCTCAGCACACTGGAACAAAAGGCGATCTCCAGGCCTATTGGCGACTCGCCAACTAGGCTCGGCGATCTTCAAGACTTCATTTCTTTGTTATTTTCAACCGCCTTGTTCCTTCTTGCCAAGTAGTGTCCATGCTTTTGCCTCAAACTCTAAATACCTGACACTTAAGGATTTTCATCAGATATTAAGACAAAATATGCATTTGAGGACACTAATTCTATCAAAATATAGCCCTAAAATGAGTCCAAATTGTGGACTCATCACAGCGTTATGAGCTTATGGGGAACACATACACCCTAGTTTCTCTCTCTCATTGATAGCAACAAATTTTGAATCTTTCTCACTCGTTCTCTAAACAACGATCAATTATTAATTTCCCAAACCCCCCCTTTACTTAGTTGTCTCGGAAATACGTTGATTAAATGAATATAATTGTAAGTTAAAGTTAAGTCTAAACAATATTCCTCGTGGGATCGACCCCAACCTCCAAGTTGGGTTTTTTACTTGATAACGATCGCTTATACTTCTTTAGGGAGGTATAATTTAAGCGTATCAAATTTTGGCGCCGCTGCCGGGGAATAAGGATTTTAGATTAAGTTTAACTACATTATTGAACTTTAGTCAATTATTTCCTAATTTTACTTTTTCTTTTGTTTTTGTTTCTCTCAGGTTCCTACTCTAGTGTATGCCAAGTATAT